ATTAATAATGTCAACTGCAGTAATCATAGACAGGATTATAATGTATGAAGTAGCACGATCGACTGATGATGTGATCCTTCTTTTAAAGAGCTTTAAACTTCACCTCATGTAATAGTTTCTTTTTTTTTTTCTTTCACATTATTTTTGCGGGTTTTTATGAATGAAATTTGTTTTTAGTTTTTGAACCTGCAACAGTGCGACAAAAATTATATTAGTCGTAAAAATTTAACGAAGTTCGTCTTCCATTTTTCTTTTAGTTATGCACTTATCTGTAGTTGAAATCTTTTCATTTAAAAATGTAATAGTTTTTAAATGATTTCATTGAACAAACTAATTTAAACGGTTTCAAAATTCTAAAAAAATTCTTTTGTCGTACTTTTATAAGATGCCTTTCATTTTATCTTCGTGATCTCATAATTTCCTGTCTTTCACTCATGTTTATGTATTACTAACGAAGGATTGGTGACGATTTTCAACTGCGAGGTTGTGACTTTTTTTAATTTCGATTTTTAATTAGTGATCAAATACTATGGAATATGTATGAAAGTTTATTTCATAACTTTTTTATCGCTGGAAATTCCAAGAAGCCGTTTTTTGTTTCTACGAGATCATTTTTATCATAGGTGAACATCATAACATCTTATCTCTGCATGTGTTTTGAATACACTGTAGGGAAGTTCTCCACTTCTTTTGTTTATTCTGAAATGATTCAAAACTGACAGCAGGTTTTTTTTTTTTTTAATATTAATATTTGTGTCAGTTGGTTCTTGGATAGTTCTGGCTTACTATTTTTCACATTGATATGTTATTTGAAATGCGTGGTAATAGTTACCAAGGAGTTCAAACCATATTGGAAATTAATGATAATATCTAAATTACTTTGTTTCAACTTCGATAAAAAAATTATTTAAATTTAATTTCCAGTGTTATCCATATCAGTGATTCTTTAACACTGATAAAATCTAGTCTCTGCTATGGTAAGAGAAAGTAAAATTATTTTGGTTCATCACAGGTGAATTATCTTGCGCATTATATCCTATCAAGATCGCTGTTCAGTTTGCTGAAGAAGAATGTTCCATCTCGACTGGTTCTTGTAAGCAGCATTTGCTACGAATGGTTTGTTTCTTATTTTTTTTGGTAGTATTTAGGTAAAATGGAAGCTAGAAATAAAGTTTATGGGCAAGAACTTCTTAATGGGTGTTAGTGCTAGCATAATTTTGGAACTTTGAAACAGTGGCACGGAGATCAGTACATACACGATAATCTTTAATTTAAAATGAAGTAATGATGGTATTCTATATATGTGATATAGACCACATGTGATGATCTTATAATTTCTAATAATTCATTATTGCTTTCTAGAAAATACAAATGAAAACCGCTTTCAATAGGACTTTTCCTGCGATGAAGTACAATTTCAGGTATTCTCTAGATTGGTCAGATTTGGAAAGTTCGAAAACTTATGAGAAGTACACGCAGTACTCACGTACAAAGCTTATGATTCACTTGATGACGTTCAAGTTAGCTCGTTTGTTCATCGGATCTGGAGTTACTTGTAACGTTCTGGAACCAGGCATCATCGAGACGAAACTTTTAAGGTTAGTTCGAAGAGACACTGTCAAACTACAAAGTTGCCTTAAAATATTAGATTTTTGAAATAAAGTAGTAGTAATGGACAGTGAGCATTTTTTAAACATTATGTTGCTCTTAAACACCCAAGATATTGCTTTCAAATCTCTGGAAAATTTTCCCTTCTTGCATGTTTGCAGTGTGAATAAAATTCACATTTATTTGAATTATTTTTGAACGTTAGTTAAAATCCAATATCATTTCCATAAATAAGTCTGAATAGAAATTTCAACAAATTTCAGAGCTGGTGGTTATAGTGGAGTTCCTGTTTGCGCAGGTTCTCGATCTTCCGTCTTTCTCTGTACCTCTGATAGTGTTACTAACGTGAATGGTGCTTATTACGACCGTAACTGTAAGCGTATCACTAAATTATTCAAAGATGCAGTGGATGAGAAGCAACAGGAAAATCTGTGGCAGCTAACTGATAAACTATGCGAAAAGAAAGGCATTAAACTTCCGAAAATATGATTTTTTTTCCTAGTTTAAAGAATTTATATTGGTGAATGATTGTTTTTTGGAAATTGTCTCACTTTTTTTGTTGGGTCCTGTATTTAAAATGATTGATTTTGAATTCTTGACTTGTTATAAAATAATCCTCACTGGAAATCCAAATTACTTTCCTTATGTCATAGCTTCTCAGCTTATCATATTTATCGTTTGTTCTGCTGTTTGTCCAGTTTAACGATTTGTTAGTCATTTGTTGCGTAAGTTCGGGGATAAATTTAGTGGCACTTTATGATTCATTTTTTTTATGCTAAAGGCTAAATAAATTTGATATTTCTTAAAGCAGCTCTTCATTTTAAATAGTTTTGCTTTTCTGCCAGTGTCGTTTCATTTCCAGTTGTTAGTAAATGGCGAGCTTATTTAGATGAATTATTTTGAAAGTCTTTCAAGTCTAATATTTCAATTACTTGTATTATGCAGACTACTGAGAGATAGTATTCCAAATGGCTGAAAGCGAAGAATTCCCAGTGGAGGTTGAGATTTTCGAGGACGTCCATGATTCTCAGTTTATTCGACCTATGAGAATGAAATTCAAAAGGGTATGTATGTCCAATTGTTTTATTGGTCTATGTTGTGTTTTGTCCTAAGACCGTTAAACGATGACGATTCGTTAGTTCCGCTAGTTTCTTATCTCTCAAAATTAATTTCTAACCTTTTCCTCTTGGAACACGCGTGCATTCTTTAAGGTAGAATGGTTTTAGGGTGACAAGCTTATCAAATGGGATCTTGTTTTACGTCACGACAGTGTTGCCTGTTTGTTATATCATAAACAGAAGCACTCTCTACTGTTTGTAAAACAGTTCCGACCAGGTAGGCGTCTGACTGATTTGGCATGTTTTTGGGAAAACTTTAAACACGAACAATTTAAATAGTTCAAGGATATTTTGTTAGTTTATACTTGACGGTGTGTCGTAAATTTTTTCAGTTACCGTAATTTGAGTTACCTTTAGTCCAATAAAGCTTCTTCAATTTCGAAAGTTTAGGATTACGTCTCATTAGCTTTAAAAGTTAGAATAGTTTGAAAAAAATGAACTTTCTTATGATTTTAATACTCTGCGAGAACTAAATCTATTGGTTATAAGAATATGCGCAGTACTATTTATAAATGTACGATAACGTCTGACTTTGAGTTTCGGTAATGATTCAACCATCCTTTTATTTCTTTCAGCTGTTTATATATCAAGAGTACGTAGACTGGATGAGAATGTTAATAAAAAGTGGAATGAAATAAATTGGTCAAAATATCCAATAAGTATGGGTGAAACGGTGGAACTTTGTGCCGGTCTTATTGACAAACCGAATATTAGTTGGAGAAAACATATTCAAGAAGAAATTAATGAAGAGTGTGGTTATAAGGTCAACGAAAATGACATTAAGAGCATAAAAACGTTTGTGTAAGTGTTCCGAATTCTCCTTTGGTTTGTCAGTTGAATCTATAAAAATGTTTTCTGATATTTTAGAACAGGTGTGGGTTCATCGGGTGCCCAACAAGAATTGTTTTACGCTGAGATTGACGAAACGATGAAAGTTAGTGAAGGAGGTGGTGTAGATTCAGAGAAAATCGAAAAGGTTTGTACTGTCACAATTGTTTTTTTAAATAGTGAATGCTTCAGCAAGTTCCCTCTTGAAACTGTTTGGAATGATTAGAAAACCAATTTCCCGGTGTTTTAATAAGCCGGATAGTAATTCCACGTATATCCCAACTGCTGAAGAATGTAACTACAATTTTTCAAAGCTAGCAAAAGGGAAACAATGCTGGCTGTCCCGGTTATATTGATGTAAAATGTGTCGAGCAGATCTGTCGTTCTAGTTCTTTATTGTGTTATTGGTATCAGCAAATAATTCATAATCCATTCGTTGGTTGATAAATGTCCTTCTTCAGATTTTCATGACGATACCCGAAGCGCAGAAGTATTGTGAGCAAAAAGAAGTAGCAAGTTCTCCCGGAATGCTTTATGGTCTAATGTGGTTTTTCAAAAACCGGTGTAAATAAGTAACAGAATTTGAAGATGTATGCGTCTTGTTTTCAAGATCCATTTTGATATTAGGAATATAGCACCATATATAGTTTAACTGCTTAAAGGCAAACATTAAGAGTCTATAACACAAATGAAGTATTGTAATCCGGTCCAACAAAAATCGAGGAAAGCAACCAGCAAAAGGATCATGAAACCCAAATTAACTTATGCCCTTGTGTAAAAAAACATATGCAAGAAGGGATCGAAAGAAAATAGGTAATCCAGAATGTATGCATTTATATTACGAAAATAAAGTGAAACCGAAAGTTATAAATTAGAATTAAATGCAATAAGAGATATCATAATTTGAAGGTGGGATGACTTTGCATGATCCATGCTTGAAATCTGGCAGAACTTAATATTCGTAATCAGCGTTTTATTAAAATCTTTCTTATCACTCTCAAATGGCAGAGGCAGTTTTGACGAAAAAAGTGAAAAACGCTTAATATGAAACCAACCAAAATGAATGGATAAGGATTATTTGAATAATTACACATTAAAAAGAAAAAAATCGAAGGCACACAGAAAAGAGCAAATTAAGAAAAGTGTAGACAACATCAAATACACAAGAAAGGGAACAAAAATATATATCGATTGTGCTAAATGAAAACCGTCAATCCTATTTTAGAGAATGAATTCTAAAACCTTGTCTGAATCGCTAGAACTTCTTCTAATGTCAGTGGATTCGGTCACCAATATCTTTCAGAGCGGAATATCACCAAACTATATAACAACTTTTGTTGATTTTAATTTCAGATTAAAGTAAGTTTTTTTATATTTCTTTTTAATTATTGGCAGTGATGCTAAACTGGATAAAATCTTTACAAGAAAAAAAAAACACCATTAGTTTTAAGCCCATCCACCAGTTAATTTGTGGAAAAGCTCTTCATTCAATGCTTGATTTTGTTCCTTGTTTCGCAGCGACAGGAAAATATAACCACCAATAAATTCATGTGCAACCTGAGAAGAAGTCATAGAAATTTTAATCCTTGGAATTCATGACAATGTTTAATGTTTGGGATCTACAAACCAAGAAAAATAACCAAAAAAAAATTTTTTTTTACCAAAAAATAACCTTGCAATCCGCAGACAGAGGTTTGAATTCGATATCTTCATCTTCGAACTGTATCTGGAAATCAAAAAACCCTTTTTATCTTAATTGCAGAAGTATTCATGAAAATGTTATTATATTCAAGTTCTAGTTGCGTTCACTTTACAAATCAAAAACCTTAATTTCACTCATGTCTTTTAATTCATATCATACTTTTATCCGAAATTATCCAATTTCTCAACAAACTAGTTTTGATTTCATTTTAATTGTAACTAAAATCGAGTATGATTAAATAAGTACAAAAGATACTCGAAATTATGTGGTATCTACAAGATATATCTTACAAAAATACAAAAAATATATAAAAAAAAATCAAAGCCACTTTTAGATGTCGAATTTCCCAATTCACATGCCACTTTTTCATCGTTGAAAACCTCCATGTTTTCAAACTTTCTCCCGTATCTATATTCATTCTCATTATTCTATTGAAAGCAATACCCATCAATTCCGATTTCCTACTATTTCTAAAAAGGGAAGAATTATGTATATACAGAGAGATAATCCTAATGCGTTTGCGAAACAAAGAAAACTTAATCTTTCAAGAATTTTACAAAAATCCAAAAACCTGAATCGAACGATGAAGTAATGGATGCCATGTTCTGGTAGTGCTTCCCACGCTCGTATGTATTGTAATTTTGCTTCCGTGCTCGACAGATTTCGAACACTTGAATGTGCTTCCGTGATTCGTTGTTGGAGCTGCAACAACAACTAATCACAAAGTGATTTAACAAAGATTTAACAAAAAAATTGATTACAAAGATAAGCAAAATGCTGAAAGTGTCAGCTAGAAACAGTTTGCATAAATGAAAAAAATGTGCTATAAAACGGACGAAGCAAGGGACGGCTTCGAAAGTTAAAGGTTTAACATTTCCTAAATATCTCAGCACATAAAATTTAAATGGGAAATAAATGATATGATTTGGACAGAGCAACACTCTAATTTTTCATTCTTCCATATCACAAATTAACAAAGTATTTGCCTCGAATTATGCATAATACAGGTTCTGAAAATGAACTTACTGCTTGCCTTGAACGTGCCCTACGAGCATATCTCTGTGAAACAAATTCATCAACATTAAAATCAGGAGGCAATTCTACAGCAAGATGTTTTTTCATAGCGCTATTCTGCGCACCTGCCACTGAAAAAAAAAGGACAAATTCACATTAAAATTTATTGCAACTGAATTGATTTTTTAGCCTTCATAGTTATTCAAATGTTCCAAATTACTTTAAACAGAGCAACAATATTCAATGAGTATATATTCAACAAACATAAATTTTATCACTCATTCTAAAGAAATTATGAAATTAAGAATCAAATAATAACTTTACTTCGAATCGATATGCTAGATTAAATAACGAATAAAAGAAAATTCAAAAACCTCCTAACTGCATTTGAAGAAGTTTTTTAATAGAATCAACTTCTAACTGATAACTCGCATCAGCCATCGTTTTTCCACGCGAAGCAAGACGGCATGCAGCCATCCAACGCGCATATTGATGCTCCTACAAGAAAAAAAACTTCTGAACCACTTTTCATGCAATATCTTCGCAAATATTCATAAAAATCAATTCGAAAGGAAAATTCGTCGACCTTAACTATGTTTACCTTCATGTCATTACCAATATGGTTATGCATGAGTTATGCATGCAATAGAGCATTTTTCCATATGAAAAAAAAAAAAAAAAAAAAAAAAACTAATTTCTCTGTTAAACTCATTGCCTCAATCATTTCTTATACGAACTCACCGTGTCACACTTTAAAATCATTTCACTCATGCCTTCACTACTCGGTATAAGCAGTTTGATATGGAATTTTGATTGTGCCAAAAAAACATCTGGTGTTACTTCACATCCTAAAAAATAGAGTTTTTGTAGTAAAAGAAAAAAATGAGATCTGAACTTGAGAACACTTCTACGAAGAATTTGACGGTTTTCTGTTATATTCTAATTGTACAAGAACAGTTACCTTCATGAGAATATTTGATCAATATAACGAGCACCATCTATAAAGTCCTGTTAAGATCTCGGGTAACAAGTTATGCAATACCACGAGAACCAAAACTGACAAAAAAATTAGACTCAAGAAGAAAGCAGACCTTTAAGACAGAAATGCCCCACTGGTGGACCGTTCATGTCATTCGAATTCTGATGCCAACTGAGATGTAAATCTCGAAATGAGAAATATGCTCGTTTAAAGCCTTTGAATGCTATTTTTTTCGGCCTGAATCATATGTTCCTGTCAAGGTAGAAATGTCAACTAAAATTTTGACATAAAAAGAAGCAATCAGTTCAACGGAACAGATGCAAATCAGTTCAAGATGCAACAGTGAATAAAAACAGTTACAAGAATAAAACTGAATGCATTTATTATACAATAAAGCTGGTCCCTCATTGTTTATCTGATTTCTCAATACTTTTCTTATGTTTCAAAATTTTAAGATAATTAGCTACTGGTGCAAATTTACAAGAAATTTAATCTGTCAATTGTTACTTCATATATTTGAGATAATCGGCAAGTTCAGGCACTTGCGTAAGATCCGCCTTACGATTGAAAGCTGCAGCGTCCAGATTTTGCTCCTGAACAATGTTCATACAGTTCTCAAAGTGGAACAGACATTTAAAAGGCTTAATTTATCATAACAAATGAAAAGTTTAAAAAACTAGAATATTCATGATTCAAAATAATGACATACAAGTTCATCAAGTAATAAATCCACATCATCTTTCTCTGGAACTTCTGGTTCCGGCAAATCACGCTGTAGGGTAGCTTGTAACTGCAAATAAATATGTTTGTTTGTAGAAGCAAGATCTTGTTTAAAAACTTGAATTTTCTCAGGACTTTAACAAAGATTTAAAAACAAACTTGCAATGCAGCAAAAAGCATAGCTTCTTCCTCAGTATGATCAAATTCTTCAAGTAGAATCGACCATTTCGCCTGCTCGTACAACTGATTGATACGTACCGGGTCGTACTAAAAAGACATCATAATATGTAAGTTTCGCACTTCAAATATAAAAATTTTGCATCTTAAGAGTTTTATTTTTTTTAACTTTATTACTATTTTTTAGAAAATTGAAAAGTATAATCGAAAAATAGCAAACATATACCTTAGGATTTATGTCAAAAAATGACATGTATTTGAATCGTAGAAGAACCATGTCACCTTCGGATATGCCTTGCTCCATAAGGGACCTACAAAATGTCGTTGTATGGAAAAAAGTTGTATTATCTATTAACTGTTATTCATGGAGATTCGTGTGTAACGTTTTCTATTTTCTTTTTAAACTTTTTTAATAGTGTGTATAAGACCAAAAGCCCTCAAAATAAGATCTCTAAAACGAAATTTATTAATTAACAGGCACCCTCAATCGAAATATTATATTACCTTCACACACTATCCTTTCCAAGATTCTTATTCATTAATACCCCTAATATTCTAAAGCAGACCAATTTTACAAGTAAGGATTTTAGCTGAATACTTTACCTCGACGAATCAAGCCAACCACGATTGAGCGCTGCTTTTTCTGCATAATTCTGTGGCCTAAAGACACTCATTTCTTTACTAGGAATAATTCGTGGTGACTGCACAAGCGCCATATCATACTGCTCATTTTCGAGCCCTTCACAGAATGAAACGGAAGGCATAATGGGGTTGCGACCAATTGAACCACCGTACTGCAAATTTGAAAGACTTTTGAAAACTATAAAAACAAATTCACAAACAGCTGAAAACTTTTGCAATGTTTTATTTCCTTTAAATCTTGGATATATATTAAACCTTAAGTAAGCATCCAAAAAACAAAAAACAATAATGTAAAAATAAGGTAATTAAAAGAAAAACGTACAGCACCAGGACCAGGGCTCACGCCTCGTGGAACTGTTCCTGCACGCGGAAGTGAGCCAAGCTCACTAGCATTAAATATTTGGCCACTCGTTGACAACCCTGGACTGGTACCTCGGCGAAGTGGTCGAGATAAGTTGGAAGTTGATGCACTAATCGGTTTCTGTCGTCGAAGGGTCCCAGGACCAATTGATTCCTAAAAAACACTTATAAAAATGAAAATTCGTGCAATTCAAATTTTTATCTTGGATATATGTAAAAAAAAAATTCAAGTTTTAGCATTTCATATTTGAACTAAGATTCCAAAGGAATTTAAATTGACTGCTGATTTCAAAACAATGTAAAACCGATTTTTACTACTGAAGCTAGCAATATATACCTACTTCTAAGTGTGGCAGTTGCTGCGGACCAGCTTGATCTAGCTCAAATCCGAGACCTTTCCTAAGAAGCTCCGGTGGTATAAATCGTACTAGCGACAATTCCTCAGAGTACCTTATGCCTGAAATTTAAATTTCGTTCATCGTAGCAACTTCCTTCCGAGTTATTATTGAATATAAAAATATTATAAAAACCCACTTAGGAACATACTACAGATGAAGAATAGCTCACCGATTTCTCGACAAAGTTGTTGTGTGGCACGAACAGTATTAACGGAAAAATCCAAGCGTGCATCAATCATTTGTAAATCCGGTAATTGCACGCTAGAATTATTTTTAAATAAGAAAATTGGGTTTTGAGTCCTAAATATACGAAATTTATCTAGCGATGTAGAGAAGAATAGCTTTAGTTCAGCACACAGTTATTTACCAACTATCATCAACAGGTAGAGTTCTACCAAAAATTACACATTTTTTTACAGAACAAAAATATTAAACAAGATGAGTAAAATCCGCCTTGCTTTCTTAACGCGGTTTATCTGCTATATATATAACATTTCCAGTTAAATAACCTATAAAACAAACATTGCCAGCTTGTGCTGAGGAGTAAACTCCAAGTTGCAATTTGCGGTAATACCAATTTGATCCAGAGTGCTGCGTGTATGAGTGAGCCAACGTCTTTTTTCGGGCCACCAAAGTGCATGATCGCTCCAATCTTTGCTCACATCTGTAAATCTTTTCTCTTTTTATATCTGAATAAAAGACTTGATATCTCATTAAAGAGGTCGATTAATAAGAAATGCTTACTGAGATTTTAGTATACCAACAAACAATTCATGGATTTTTTGAATAAACGAAGTTTTTTAAAGTACTTCTAGAAAATGAAAGCCATTTTCTTGTACGAAATCAAAATTATTTCTGGTAAGTGGCGAGAGAAAACATGAGACGGGCGGAATTAAAACTCTAAGTTAAAATTAGAAAATGAATTTTCCTTATACTGACGGTATATTTTTGGAAGGTAACTCAGCTGAAGAATACAATATACTAATTAGTAATTATACGATGAAGGACGAACCAACTTCATCGACCAGTCTAAGCATTAAACCACCAATGTGCAACGACCCGGTAACATATAAATTTCGCTGGATGTTCAAATCAGTAACCAAAATCGAAATTTGCCAGCTGCCATCATTAGTTACATCGCTCTCCACCAAATGCGTCATTGTTTCCCTTAATGATAATTTTCATTAACTTTATGAAAATATAAATTATACAATTTACGCGACACAACACGTCAATTCGTATCTGAATGTAAGGGATAACATTTGACAAATCGTTGGAGAGAAAAGTGTCGGCATATGAATACTTACCAAACATTATTTTTCATAAAAATTCATATAAAAACTTAACACATGTCACTCACAGTAAATAGGAAGCAACCAATGGTAGAATATTGGCCCTAACTGAGCGCCTGCATGGATGTTAGCTTATGCCCTGCTTCCATCACCCAACTTCACAGTTGCACTGCTGCAGTTCTTGCTTGCCCACCAGAGTCAGCTAATTATCTTGTGAATGCAGCGTGTTTATGGCATCAGTTAGTGTACATACATACATACACATATATACATATATCAGACGCATTTACGAATAGCTTTTAGTGATAGATTCGAGCAAACAAGTAAGCAGAGGAGTAAGAAAATAATCAGAATGATGTGGCAGACAAGAAAGAGACGCTAATTGTAAGATAGTCAGGCTAGGACAAGTGGAATGAAGGATGTTAACGGATACCAAACTACCAATCCACCCCCCAAGAGCAATAATTGCAGCTGTAGTGATAGACATCAGTGAGAATTACTACTGCTAACTATTTGATCAGGATATTTAATGTCCAGAGTAGATGGAATGTTTTAAAGACATCCAGTAAAAGTAAATAACGATGCCATAACCCACTGAATGAAGGCCTCTATACCTATCATATATCTTAATAAGGCGCAAAGTGTTTGGAACCAGAATTTAATAACAAATTCGACAATTACTATTTTTTACAACTATCGCAGAATGTCAAGATCAGGAAGTGTCTATTCATTCAAGTCATCAGAGTTCCTTCGTAATCCCATATTTCTAAAGCTGTAGAAACATCTGAGATGGTATTCAACTTCTGGAAAAAATTTACTATATCTCAATCTCTATCTTTTAAATAGCAAATGAAAATCTATTTTCTGAATAAATTTGGATTTTCAAACGAATCACATAAATAAAGAAGTAACATAACACAGCACATCTAATTCTACAAGTTACGAATGAAATAACACAGAAACAAAGGAAAACTAATTAATTATCAAACTTTTGCAATATTTCAGTCAAGAAAAGATTTTTACAGCAAACAATATCATGGATCAAAATTCTTACGCTTTATCTGCGAAAACGATAAAAATACAAAGCAAATGTCTATTTGGTTGGAACCTGAATACAAGTAAATTATAAATGTATTTTAAAGCACAAAAAAAGAATATATTTTAAGAATTAAAAATCATTATTTTGTGCTTTCCAAGCTCAGTTAGTGCTTTTTATAATCCGCTTTTGTTTGATTCATTTAAAGTAACAAAAACAGAAAGAAGACTGGACAACTTATTCAACATTGAATTAGATAGCTTGAAAGCAAGCTTTGTAAACATACTTTTGGCAAAAAGGAAGGTTTTAAAATATGTGAAATTGCCTCGACTGATAATAACACTACTACATGACACTGAAAACTTTCTAGACCAAGTGCATACTAGTCGAACAAGAAGAATTCTAAACTTGTGAAAGAATATTTAAAGTAAAGAAGATAAGCAATGAAGATAATAAAAGTTATTTTATACCTAATGTAAAAAGGAACACTTTGGAAATCAACTAAAACAATCCTTCTAATTATCTGTTTAAAATTATATGCATCAACATCAAGTCTTGTTGGATTTAGCACTTTGTTAAAATACAAAACATAGCTCTACCTTAACGAAGCCTAATACTATAAGTAAGTTACGACAAAAAGGTTAAAATCGTAACTAAATAACACCAATAATATCACTGATCAACTGGTATTGGTACTAAGAGATGAACTTTAAAACATTAACAGGTTATTTGAGCTTGTAAAATCCATAAAAGTACTATAAAGGAAGATATACTGTTTGAAAAGTAAGAAAAAAAGTAAAATGAAAGCCGCATAAAAAGGGCAAATCCTCGATTTCAAATGTTCTTTTTTGTGTTCGAAACGACAATACAACAGTAACTAATAATTAATCTGAAAATAAAACTTATTTTACTAAATGCTTGACATTTTATCTATTATTTTTATTTGTTAATAGAAAGACAACTGTTTCAATGTCATTATATATCTAACAATAAAAATAAGAGGTGAAGCACATGCATTTTAGAGATGGATGCAAACATTCGCAATCATCGAAATAACATCTTAAAGTGGCCGGTAATGGCCACAAGAGACAATTACTATCAAACAAACTGCTAGTAAAACTTACTTATTTCTCTTCTAAAAATTTTTAGTTCATTTACTTACTTAGTACAATTATTCCTATATTCCTATAATAAAGTGTTGGAATAGAAAGAGGAAAACTTTTAGTCATAAATGGTAAGCTGTCAAAACAATTAATTATAATCCCAACATTATTTCTAAGATTACAAACAACTAGAAGAAGTAGAGAATAAACGCAACGTCTAATCAAAAGAAATTACGACGACTGTAAGCACTGCTGAAGACAATTTATAAGAAACTAACGATATGTGCTAAAGCTGTATTCATCGGAGCTCAATTTTCTGTAGACTCAAGTCGCCTTTGACAGTGATAGTCTCGATGTGAATCAGTTTGGAAAATTTTCGGTAATGAAAATTAGCAAAGTGATTGCCGTTAATTGTTATCTGAAATAAACATTCAAAATGAAACTATTAGAAACCACCCCGGCTTACCTCGTCAGTGAAACAAGAAAATCAGTACTTGTTTAAAATTATTTTTGACACTAATTATATATCTACAATTACCTATTGTTCAATTAAAAGTGTGCTATCAAACAGATAAATGCTTATAAAATAGAACTAAAATGTTATGTTATCAGGGTTATTTTATAACATCCAGCTTAACTTATGTTATCACTAATTTTCAGGAAAAATTTACTAAAAAATGCCTCATTCCTTATTCCGAATATATCAGAAAATCAATTCCGAATTAAATATTAAAAAATTAAATATAAATAAGATTACTACCGGAAATGAAGTCACTCATTATCAAAAGGTATTCTATATAAACAAAAGAAGGAAAAAATGCAAGATAAATTATAAGTTTTACGAAAGTACAGATTTCATCAACTATAAAAACGGCATAAACTTACGGAAATGTGTTGTTCTTCAAAATAAAACATGATGTCAAAGGTGATTCCTTGTCGAAAAGGAAAGGAGCACATTTCACGTTCTTCCTTTTGCCATTTTCCAAATTCTGTACTATTTCGCACTATCGCTTCCTGTTTAAGAAACAGATAATAATTCTTGAAGTAAATTTTAAAGCAAAACCATAACGACTAAACACAAAAATAAAATATACATATCTGAGACTATCTGAAACTTTCAGTACTATTTCATACTGTTACTTCCTGAAAGTTAGCAATAACGCATAACCAATAAAAAATAATCAAACTTTTTTTGACATGGATTTAGACTACGTAATCAAAAGACTGAAAATATCAATAAATTTCAATGAGAATATGTAGAAATGTGCTCAAACAAACCTTCTCGTTTCCTACTGAAAAATTTACTCGGAAATGAAAGAAATGTTCCATCGGTGTCAAAAAGTTAATGGTAAAGTATTCAGCGTTCATTAGCGGTGTACCAGTAACTAATACTTTTATACCGGGTGACAATCTCTCGTTCAAACGCATTACAAAAGGGACTTTCTGTAATTTGCTATATTAGAGAAATTAATCCTACAACGAAATTTTGAAATAAGGAAAAAATGAGAAGATAAAGGAAAATAAAGAAGAGACCAGAAAGCCCATCGTTAATTTCAACATCCAAATATCGGGTAGATTACTGCATTCTATCCCATAAATTACAAACATTGGCAATGTTTAACTCTACAAATCTGTTTTTAATTATACACTAACAGGCTTGCGAATGACATTGCTGCTGGAAAGTTTACCAACTTCATCAGTGAGTTTTACTTGGTTGGAAGTTGAAGCATTCTGCAAATTAAAAATTCAAAAAATGCACGATGGCAAGATAAATAAATTATTAATATAATAACTAGAACTTCCTTCAAAATGTTCAAGAATGAGTGACAAAACATAGCTGACTAAGAGACACATCCAAGATCTTCCAACTGCAGAGTTTCATTTTAAAAAAAAATAGAAGTTACATTTCTTTCCACAATTTAACGAAGTAGAGATGATATACTGAGATATATCTTAACATGAGATTTAACAATGAAGATTCGTAAGCATTGAGATGTCTTGTATTTTGACGTCAGTAAGCGATTATCTGCTTCGCGAAAAATAAGTAATCATTATATATCATCTAACATATCAATACTTAAAACATGGAAATCATAGAGATAGATTTAAGCAAAACAAATGGTTAAAAATTAATGCAAAAACAGGCAATATATATATATATATATTATAATATGCCATGTGCCATTTTCCTTATAATAGCACTTTTCCATTGAAATTTCATATAAAGTGAAAAATTAAAAAAAAAGACCAATATAAGTTCAAATATCTTGTGTTGTTTTCACATGAGACTTGCATGCATTCAATGATTAGGTTTCAAAAAATCGTTAACTTGACATTGCAGAGAAAGACAGTGAACTACAAACATTTTAAAACATGAATAAGCAAGCATACAATACATTTGACAATAAAAGGATTACACCATTGCAATCATTCAGATCACCATTTAAATTCGTAAATGGTATCCATTACAAACAGTTTAACAGATGGAACAACAAAGATCTTAGAAATGTTAAATGAATGAAAGACTTTGACAAAACATACATATATTCAAAGGCACATAAGTTTAGGTGCATTTGAAAGAAATATCCAATCGATCTTCCATGATGAATATTTCTATGCTTAAACCAAGGAATGAAAATCAATCCAAATTAAACTTGATAAAGAGAATAAAACAAACAAATTTGGAATTAAGTGGAAGGAACACTTACATCGATACCCTCATATTTAAT